GCACTGCAGCATGGCATGTGGGAGAGAAGCCAGATATTCCGCGGAGGGTATGGCAGCAGAGCTGCATGATGCAGAAGCATGTGTTGAAGGAGCTCAGAGATCAGGGGGAGAGAGGCAGCAGAGCTGTGCAGCAGAGGAGCAATCAGCACAGAGACCCAAGGGATGAGGCAGAGAGCTGCAGCAGAGGTATGGGGTGAAAAAGCCTCAGAGTCAGGCTGGAGGGCTGCAGCTGAGCCAGGTGGCAAGGCAGCATGTGGCACACAGCTATATTTTAGGCCTCTGAACTATCCCTAATCTTGTGACTTCTCAGAAGTCTCTTTGTCCTTGTACTTCAGTATCTTTTTTCTCATGGATTTAACAGTTTACCATTCAGTAGAGGTGCATGGATATATTGGTGGTATATTGGATCGGCACCGATAAAAGGAAACAACACTTTTGGCTATCAGCTTTTTTTGGCTGGTGTAGCTGCTAATATACTGATAAATATATGCCTTCTGCCTGGGGCAGGGGGGGAGGGAGGGAGGAAGGGGCAGGGATCCAGAAGTGGTGGACCCAGAAGTGGACCAGACGTGCTTCTGGTCCACTTTCAGGTCTGTCACTGAATGTGCTGGAGACCACACTGTGCTTCTGTGGGATGCTCCATCCACCCCACCATTTCACTGTTCACGAGCCGCGTGGTACCTTAAGGTATGTAGAAAAAACATTTAAAGCTGTGTCTACGTTCCAATAATCAAATCTCTCTGAATCAATTCGTAAGTGTAGCAGGGCACTAAGGTGCCTGCTACTTGTAGAACGGAGACAAACACCCACGTGCAGGTTGCTAGGACAACTGGTTAATGAGGGAATAGGCCGCACCTGCACCTGGTCAGCTGGCCTGACTGTAGGTACAGCCCCTGAGATGGGTAAAAGATGGAGTGCCCATGGAGTGGCTGGAATAATGTTATAGCCGGGCAGCTAGAGTTTATGTTATAGCCCAGGGGCTTGTGTTTTGGTTTATTGTTTGATTACCGGTGGTTTGGGAGAGGCTATAAGGGGATGGAGGAGGTCTCATAGGGGGTCCATGACAGTGTGGGGGCCCGAGTGCCAAAGGGGAACAGCATTGGGTGTGAGCCGACCCTGAGCACCAGAGAAGGCACAACATTGGGGGTGTGCTGACCCCAAGCACCAGTGAGGCACAGCGTGAGACAGGGCTGTGAAGAACCCAAGTGCCAGTGAGGTGCAGAGTGAGACAGGGCTGCGGAGAGCCCGAGTGCCAGTGAGGTGCAGTGCAAGGCATGGCTGCGGAAAGCCCGAGCAACAGAAGGGGCGCAGAGTGAGACTGAAAAACGTCAAGTCCATCAGTGAGGCTTGGGACATGGTAAAGGGGTGGTTGGTGCCACACATAGCCCATAAGGCTAGGGTGCACTGAAACACCCATTACAGAATGGGGCCCGTATACAGCAGGAAAACCGTGTCCAAGAGGATGGAAAGGCGGCCTCCCTATTATATATTTAACATCAAAGATGTGGTGGGTGAGATTTGAGGGTGCTTTTTAGGCTAACTGGGCATGGAAAGGGGGCATTAGGGGAGACCACGGCAACCCAAGGGCAACCCATCCTGTTACAGGAAGGTACCAGTTCAATTCAGAGAGATTAAAGGATCTCCTGATTTGATTCAGATTTGGAGATTTGGCCGCTGAATCAGGCCGAATCTCTGCCGAATGGGATCAGTGACCAAAGTTTTGCAGAGCCCTGATATTCAGCTTATAGCCATTTGTTCTTATGCCAACATCATCCCTTTGGTTTAAATACTTCTTTCCCCTCCCATATATTACAACCCACTACTTTTAATACATATTTAGAGAAAGTGAACCGTTTCAGGTTTCATTTCTCTAGGCTGCAGGAGGCAAGCTCTTTTAATCTCCCCTAATAAGATAGCTAAATTCTCCTGATTATCCTAGTAAGTGACCAGAATTGTACAAAGTATTCAGGTGAAGTCTCTAGTAGGGCCTAGTAAATGGCATTAAGACCACCCCAGCCTTATTGGAAATAGATCTGATTCATCCCAAGATTGTACTGTAGGCCTGTGCAAATAGGGAACTATTCAATTTGGATTAAGCCAATTCAGATGCCAGAGATTTGATTCAGAGATTTGAATTGTGTTTCCGATTCAGCCGAAATGGCTTCGTAAGATTCAGAGCCGATTCGGAGACATTCAGAGATTCAGCCATAGAGTATAATGAGGAATCAATGAAATAGCTTTAACTTCGTTGTTTTTTGGCTGATCCAGATGAAGCTTGCAGAAGTGGTAGTCCTGATGAGGGAATGAGTCCTGCCATGATTCAAAGTGATAGGTGAAGGGGTTTCTGGGAAACTGCACCTCAAAGTCCTGAAAGCAAAACTCATGTCATGTGTGTGTGTGTGTTAAGCCACAGTGGGGTGAAAACTGCAGGGACAGTAGCCCCTGCTGAGGCCATGAAGTCTGCCAAGTTTCAAGGAGATAGGTGCAGGGGTTTCTGGGAAATTGCATCTCAAAAATCTGATAAGCAAAACTCATGACATAGGTGACACTGTGTGTGTGTTAAGGCACGGTGTGGGGGGCAGTGAAAACTGCAGGCCTGCTAGCCCTGCTGTGGCCATGAAGCATGCCAGCTGTCAAGGTGATAGGTGCAGGGGGAGCCTGTGTTCTGGGGCCCTGCACCTCTGGTCGCAGGCAGGCAAAACTCATGACGTAGGTGGGTGACACTGCGTATGTGTGTTCAGGTGCGCCTTTCCTGGCACTGGGGCCTCTGCACATCATAGCAGTGTGCCCTAGTGAGGTCTCCTCCTCCCCTACAGCCTCAGTCCGGTCCACCATTGTAAACAGCAGCAGGTTAAAATAACATAGGTGATTCAGCAGTCAGCACCAGTAGCACCAGTAGCATCTAAGGTAGCCAAACGGAACTGTCACAGAGCCTTTCTTTTTATAAAGGAATTGACAGCAAGAAGTAAACATGTTGTGTTATGTTGGATATATGTTACTTGTGATGTGTGATGGCTTATCTTCTGTTGTTATGTTTATATGTTTAATATGAAAAAAACAGAATAGTTAGAGAAATATATCTTAGGAAGTTTTCAGGTTGAAAAACCCTTTGTCAGGCTGAGGAAGTACCTGAAGTTGGTGTATCTCCTGGTCCTGGATGGAAGGAATAGTAAAGAAGCCAGAGGCTGGCCTGGCATACAATGCAGGCAAAGAAGCCAGTCAGTGAAAATGGAAATGGAGGTGTCAGGGGGTGAGGGACAGGTTGACGGGTAGGGGGGATATAGCAGTGCAGGTAAAAGTGCAGAGATACCTGAGGAGTCAGGTGTCCGGCAGGTCACAGTGTGTCAAAATTCCACCGTCTAATCTATATTGAGTCCATGAGTTTCTGTACCTACTACCTAGGAGGCTGATGAAGTGCAGTTCATAGGCCCAGCTCTGAAAAGTGGTTTGTACATTCAAACAAGCACCTAACCTCATCACCAGAACTGAAGCCAACTTCCTACAGCTCAAAACACAAAACCTGCCAGCTATCTCCAGTACCCCTACAAGCTGCACACCAGAATCTATCAAAGAGAAGAATACCCAACTACCTGTGGGGGCACATTCCTCACCAAAAAAACACTCTGCCTCCCGTCTCTCAGGCCTGATCCTGAGAAGGAACAAATTACAAACCACTTTTTACAGCCAGGCCTATGAACTTCACTTCATCCACCTCCTACGTACAGAAACTTATGGACTCAACGTTGATTAGACAGTGGAATTCTGACACACTGCAACCTGCCGGACATCTGACTCCTCACCCCTGCTCCCCTCCCTCTTCTAAGTTTCTGTTTCCCCATAAAGACAGCCCTCCAAATCTCTGAATCGCTGAATCTTTTCTGAATGAATTTGGAAAGTTTTAAGCTTCTAGCGATTCGATTCAGAGATTCTGCCTCCAAATCCGGCCAAATCTTCTCCAAATTGAATTGTGATCTGAACAGCCCTATTGTTCTGCCATTTTTCTGGATTTTTTATATTTGAGTTGTTGGTTATCAGGTGATATGCAAGTGAAACTAATTCCATATCCATCTCTGTATTTACAAATGATGAGTCATACTTTATAGTAATTGTTTTTTATTAGTCCCCAGGGCATGACTTTACAGTTTGTATTCAATTCAGCCCATTTGTGTTATTCTACTCTGTGTCATCCAATTCTTCCTGTGTGATAACTCATCTTTTTCTGTACTGGTAATTCCTCCTAATGTTGGTTGTCTTCAGATTTCACTGACACACTCCTAATATTGATACGGTCATTAATGAAAATATTAAAAAAGATCAGTCCCAAGACTGACCCTTGAACTCTAAGAACTCTACCTGGCCTGATATCGCCCCTGTCCAGCACTGGCTCTTGCAGTCCCACCTTGAGTGAGCTGCATATCTATATTATGATTCCTTTGCTAATCCACATTCTTTCCAATTTAACTAAGCTTCCCATGTTGTACTGTATTATTTTCTCTAAAGTTCACATAAAGGATATTAACACATTTGCTTTGCCTTGAAAATTAGTACTTATCAAATAAATCTATCAGGTTAGTCTGGTACTATTTACTTTTGGTTGAAAAAAATGTTGCATTTCCCTTTCACGTCTTATATTGAAGATACTTTCCGTATCTTCAGTCATCCTTTCCTTCAGAATCTAAGGGCTTATACTATTGAAGTCAGACTTATAGGCCAATAGTTGCTCAGCTTACTTTTTTCTTCCTTCATAGGGTGCCTATACACATGCATCAAGACTGCTCTGACCTTTTGAAATATAAAACCTGAGTTATGGAACTGAGGTTTATTCTTACCTTAAAATTAAATCTAATAAGTTTTTGATCATTCTCTTCAAAATTTCTTGTTTACAACCAGCTCTTCTATAATGCCTCCTCACTTACAAAAATATAATTTAAAATACCATCACCCGCTTCTTGGTTCATCGACTGTTTCATGAAGAATTTGTTGGCTAACTAAAATACAATCCCATTCGTTGATTTACCTAATCCTGTATGGTCTTTGAAGAAGTAAACCAGGAGCACATCCCTTTCATCAGGGAATGGCTCCCATACACTAGTGTAACAGTGGTTACAATTGATAATATGTACTAAAACATTCAAATAAAATTTGACAGCTAATATATATTATAGTGTAAATATATACAAATGTATTCTTTTAGTGGGAAAAAAACCCCTTAGAATATATATATCACAAAATGGTGAGAAAAAAAGTAAATTTTTCATCATAACATATTGTCAGTTGGAAAAATGTTGACCCGTTCTGATTCTAACCCACAGTAGGATATATTTGGGACAAGATTTAAGACAAAAGATCCACAGCCCAGTCCTCTGACTTACCCATTCTTCTGGATAAGTTTCTGCTTGTGGCTGGTAGAGAGCTGATTTTATGGCATGTGGTAAGTATAGCTGCTATCTGTCCCTAAACTGTACTAGCCCACACACAGACATGGGGAATAGGGCTGAACCTTCCTGAGCCTGCAAATTACTTTATGCTCTGGTTTTGTTGCACAAATAACATCTTCCATCAAATTGACAAGTCTTTTTTGTTAACTGGCTTCCATAACAAATATTCCACCTCTCAGATCTATTTTCATTAACACAGATATTGGTGAGGTAGGATAAGGGGGTCTATAGAGGTAAAGGACACTTCCATTTTCAGTAGCTATTGTTGTATTTTCCATTTTTGTTTTTATATTGTATGAGCATAATGCATCTTATTATGACTGACAGGCCTGTAATGGGATTTTTGCTGTTCTCATCAGCTTTCAGAAAAAAATGGGGACAAGTTTCACCAATTTAGACCCATAAGCATTTGACAGCACCTGACTTATAAATTATTGTGTTCCTTTCAACCACTGATTGGTTTCTAGACATAAATAACAATAGAAATGACAATATAGTAATTCTCCTTTTTTGGGCTGCTCATATTTCTGAAACTATTATTTTTGAATCCTTAGTTAACTTCAGCTTCCTTGGCTTCCACTTACAGATTAGGTTTTCACTTTTAGAGAGTTTGAGTGATGGTTTAGTATTTTATTTTGGGTTTTTATTTTAACTACTTACAGATTTTGCTTATTTTTTAATTTTAAGGTGATCTGTTTTGTAGCTTAGCATTCCTTCAAACAGAAAACATTGCAATTTAAAACAATATACATTATGCATCAATTTTATTATAAATCAAATTAAGATATCTGACAAATTCATAAAAAACAACATTAATTTCAGTTTTGCCTGGGTCAGAGATGTGAAAAAATCAAGCTATTTCAACTAACGTTGAAATATTTTGAGCTGAGATGGTACAAATGTGAATTTTTTAAATCTCTATTTAGATATTCATCCAGATGTCTTTTCAGGTTGCAGTTTTCTGTGCAAAATGATTTCTTTTTTCAAAATTAGAAACATATATGGCTTTCTTTCTGCATGAAAAGTAATTACTAAATTCTGACTAGCCAAGGTCAAAAAATGTGTTATGATTGGTTGTTTGCTGCGGAGGAAGGTTCCTTGATCTTGAACCCATTCCCTGTAGAAAACTGCCATACAACAACAAAAATAATGAATCGCCATATTGGCCTACATATTTACCAGTTTTATCGGAGAAGTTAATGACTGCATGAGTGATATGGGTGATATATTACTGGAAGTAGTCTCTCCCATTCAGGTTTGAAGCTAATATGCAGTGGCTTCCTACAGACATTTGGTTTCTCCTGGGAGAGTCATTGCTGTCCCAGGAGAAGCCATTAATATACAGATATTCAAGCTTTTTCTCCTAGAGTAAAAATGGCTGCTCCAGGAGAAAAATAACATGGGAACAGCCAAGCTGGAATGCTGTATCCAATTCTGGGCTCTGAAATTCAGAAAGGATGTGGAGAAGCTTGACAGAGTCCAGAGGAGAGCTACATGCATGATTAGAGGACAAGAGAGCAGGCCTTATGAGGAGAGGCTGAGAACCATGGGACTCTTCAGCCTGGAAGAGCATAGGGTCAGGGATGATTTGGTGGCAGCCTATAAGTACATAAGGGGTGTGCATCAGGACCTGGACGAATGTCTCTTCACCAGGGACCCCAAGGGAAGACAAGGTCTGATGATCACAAACTCCTGGAAGACCGTTTTAGGCCAGACATAAGGAAAAACTTCTTTACTGTCCGTGCTCCCCCAGGCCTGGAATAAACAACCCCAGAGGTGGTGCTAACACCTGCTCTGGACACTTTCAAGAAACACTTGGATGCCTATTTTGCTGGGATAATTTGGCCCCAGCTGACTTCCTGCCCCCTGGGCAGAGGGCTGGACCCAGTGATCTCAGGAGGTCCCTTCCAGGTCTAATGTCTATGAAGTCTATGAAATCTATTAAATGCAAACAATTCTATATCTACCAGTCCTAGAGCTGCCACAAAGGCAAGGTACATCTGGAATGCAAGCTTCACCCTGAGGTTCTTTCTTTACTGTCAGATGTCAGCAGCCTGGAGGTTGGAGGCCCCCTCCCTAGTGGATTGGGTGAGATGGGCTGGTGGTGTTCCCTCTGTCTATGGGGGCCTCAGGGTTCCCTCTTGGGGACCTTTTGCTGCTCTGAAATCCTTCCTTTTCTTTCTTCCCCCGATGACTCTTCATCTCTGTGTATTGCTGATTGGATGACCACAGGATCATCATACTATGTTCTGTTCTGTCAGCATATTCCTTTGTTCATATGGCCATCATATGCACATGCCTTAATTGGGTCATTTCATTCAAAAGCAAAAACCCTTGGGATTTCCAGAAGTTGGCACTGTAACCCTGGAGCCCTGGAGCCAGGCCTATTTGTATTATGAAAATAAAGTTTGAAAGTTTTGAATTTCTTAGGATGTGTATGTCTGTTGGCCTCAGGCACCCTGTCAGCCTTGAAGGCTGTGAAACTGTGAGACAAACAGGCTTTTAGAAATCAATTAGCCCTTGCCATTCCCCTACCTAATGCAATATCTACTTTACTTACAAGCTGATAGTTAGAAAATTATAGTTAGAGGTTTGCTTTTAGGAATTGTCTTGTAGGTAAAGTAGATATTGTATTAGAACAATGGTCTAGCATGGGAATGGCAAGGGTTAATTGATTTCTAAAAGCCTGTTTGTCACACAGTTTCACAACATTCAGGGTAGAATGGGTATCCAAGGCCAACAGACATACACATCCTGGTAAATTAAAAACATCCAAATTATTTTCATAATAGAAGTATTATGGCTCCAGGGCTATAGTGCACACTTGCAAAAACCTTTGGGATTTCTGGTTTGGAATGAAATGACTTGATTAAGGTGTGTGTATATGATAGATTAATAAAAATAGGATTTTGGCTGACAAAACAGAATGTGGACCATATGAGGACCACAGGGAGACCAATCAATGATGTCCAGATATGAAGAGTCATCAAAGAATACAAAAGGAGGAGTTTTCAGAACAACAAGCTGGCATCGACCCCTGACCTCCAAGGTTGCTGACTTCGAACATTCAAGCAAAGAACCTCAAGGTGGCATTTACGTACAGGCCAGACGCACCACTTGCCTTGTGTGTATTCTAGGCACTGGGGAATTTGGGTAATGTATGTTGTAATCAACTTGCTTGCTTTGCCCACACTGCTTTTATTTCCTATCACAGTGTATCAATAAAATTTGCCTATTATCAACTGGAGGAGTTGTGGTCAGTCTGAATGTTGTGTTCACTTAGAGCAAGGTATCAGGGCTGG